GAATCCCTCAACATTCTTGTTGGAGGTATTTTGTCTGTGCGTTTGACTAACGGCAACTCCTTACAAAATACCCCTTCACATTCTTGAAGGATTTTATCCAACACGTCGTCGCCTGAACCCGGAGGGGTGTTCGGATCGACCTGACTGACGTTGTTGGTGGCTTTGCAAACCATAAGAAGGTAGCAAGGTTCCTTCTCCTTCTTTTGTTTCCAGAAGCTCTTTGGACTACAGTATGAAGCGTCCTTCATCATGTCAATCCGATGCACGGGTGCGGGCGTACCCATTGTGGCTGTACCCGTCTTTGTGTCTATGACTACGCCCAGTTGTCGTAGCCACGACATGCCTAAAATCATGTCGAAGGACAGATTGCATACTACTGATGCGATCAGCCAAACCTCAGATCCCACGATCTGACACTGCAGTGATACTCTTCCTAGAGTACGAACGTTCCTTCCATCAGCGACTTGAATCGTCGAAGTGGTCCTCGAGTCTACTTGTAAGTGAAGTTTCTTCACTAGGTTTTCACTCATATACGCTTTTGATGCACCGGTGTCGCACATTGCTTGTATATGAGTGCCGCATATGCCTACAGGAACGAGGACCTTATCATTGGTCGTAGGCGAGTCCGACGAGGACTCCGCGGCAATGTTGACATGATCGTCAACTTGCTCATCTTCATGCGCCAGGTCGTTCACTCCTGGCGCCGCACTTTTCCCTGGAGGGGTACGACGGTGTTGGACCCTGTCACAGGTGTGTCCGGCAGGGGACAATCCCGTTTGTAGTGGCCTTTGAACCCACACCCATAACAGGTAGGGCCGTCGTTCTTTCCTCCTTTGCGCACGTGACTGGTGCGCGGGTTTTTACAATCCGTAAGGGCGTTCACATACTCCTTCTTAGTGAACCGGCTGCCTTTGTATTGTCTGGCAGGCATCTTACCCTTCCACTTTCCTGGCACAGACGTCAAACCCCGGTTCGCATGGTCTCGTGCCTCCCCTGTTCGTTGCATCTTGTCCAGTCTTGTAGCATGAAGACCAAATGTGTTGGTGTCTTTGTGCTGGATCCCCTGTGCGTACATGGCACGAGTGATACGAGCAGCGGTTCCTGCTTTACAACGCTGGTAGAAGTCGTGATTGTTGGGTTTCACATTGAGCTGATTATACAGCCGTTCGAGTTCGACGTAGTATTCTTGGAACGAACGGTTGCCTTGACGACAGGTGTCGTATCAATGACAATGTCTTTCTTTTTCTCCAAAGAAGATCCAACGTGCCTTCAGGAAGTCAAAGAATGAGTCGAGGGTGAAATTGTCCCACGTTCTGCCATCCTTAGTCGTGTTCGTCGTAAGCTGGGTTCGGTAGTTAGCCCAGTCCTGTGCTGGAAGACCCTCCAATTTGGCTGCAATAGCGAG